GGTCGCGGTGATCTTCTCCGGCTATGGTGCTTCGCCACACCCTCACTTTTGTAGTAAGGGTATGCGTTTGATATTTTTTGGTGGTCACAGCCTATGTAATGACCTCGGCTATCATCTTGTTCAGCTCCTCCTTTGTTAACATGACGAGATGTTGGCCTGTAAATACCGCTCCACCAGCAGGTGGTCCCATCGGCTCAACCGGAGCTAAATCTGGTTATGCTAGGCGCATAAGAACAACCTTTGCATCTCCTACATGGTTGATTTTCCCTCCAACTACTACATAAGTCGCCGGTGAACCCGCTACACTTGATGGATGGGTCATAGGTGTCACCGAAGTCTAGCTGGACCTCGAGAAGCCTGGCTGCGGGCTAGTTTCCATCGGTCGCTTGGAGACCCAAGCCTCGTCAAAGGTGGACTCCAAATTTCTTGGAGATCGAGACTGGCCATGAATAGTGATGATTTGATTGCTTTTTGAACGATTTTTCCCACAGACGGCACCAAAATGGTGTGCAACAATCTCGATATGGCTTGCATGATTCAGACCTACTTCCTGACCTGTTCATAGACCTGCAATATGGGCTAGGAAGGGTCCCCGATGTTAGTACTCCAATGATCAAGTCAGTCCCCGATGATGAAGAAAACGATGAACAATGTATGTAAGCTAATAAAGTATATAAATGTATGTAGAGATTAGATTATCATACCTCACCCTTTATATAGGAGTTGTGCCTTGTTACCCAAGTATGCTTGGATGGGCTGCCCTAGTGCCCGAACTACATGTCCGTACTGCCCAGGTGCCCGAACTATCCATTATGTTAGCCACATGGTCCAATCCACGTGTGGTTCTTATCCTAGTTATATTCCTTCTTATCTCTAAGTCTTTTCTATTAGATAGTCTAATCATTCAACAAATCTGACTCACCTCCAGGTAGAGCGCCTTCTACGTCAAGATCATACGTTGTCCAATGGGTTGATGCATCGGCCCTAATATCTTCAGGTCGAATTTCTATTAGGCCGTCCGAAGACCCTAGCTTGACCTGCTGGCGATTCTCATTATTTGCGACATCACCATCGACCTGATAACTCTCCGACTTTTCTATCCTTCGACCTCCTATCGACTTGATGGGTCACCCAATTCAGTTGGTCAGCTTATCGGGTCAAGTTGATTCGGTATGTTATCCCATATCAAATAGTATCATATGGATAAAAATTTACTGCAATAAAAACAAGTAGATATCATCAAAATCACAAGTTACAACACATTAATCACAAAATAAAAAACAAATACAACATGATTAGAATTCGGATGACTTAAAAATCTACGAAACACATGAATAATAAATTTTTATTCTGGTAGTCTCCTGAACCACTTCCAGACCCCAAGATCTTGAAAAACTAATTGAAAGAATCAAAAGTGTTATTGTCTTGTGATATCTACGATTGTCC